CTACGTTGCCATGGTAATATATCTATGCCTTTATTTTGAAAGCATGCTTTGCATACTTTTGCTGTGTGGCATGGAGCTGAATCCTACTGAAAAATAAATGGTCCGTTGTTGGGGAAGAGATCCCTGATGGAAGGTATCAATTTTGGTTTCAGGACAGTTTCGATGTGCTTTTTAACTTTTTTTGTAATACAGATATTGTAATACTGTATTTCTTATTAAATTCTACATTAAATTACCTTCAATTTGATATGTAAACGTTTGTATTTAAGTGAAAATTAATATACTCTACAAGCACACAAAGTTGAAAAACATGAAACTTTCAAAAAGTGTCCACACTTTTGGCCACCGCTGTATATTAGTTGTAGAATGAAAAAGTTTACCTTGGAGCTATTAGTTTTAGAGTGAAAAAGGTAACATTGGAGCTATATTAGTTGTAGAATGAAAAAGGTTGCATTGGAACTATTAATTGCAGGATGAAAATATGTTATGTTGGAGCTATTAGTTGCAGAATGAAAAAGATTTTATTGGAGCTATTAGTTGCAGAGTGAAGATAACCGATAAGGATAAAGGGACACACTATGAAGAACAATAAATCAATGAAAATAAATCCAGTAAAAAAATTCATGCCTTAAAGTTTGCTAGAGAAATTGTTTTTAACCTAATCGCTATAAATGAAATACTTTTCATAGAGATTACTTAAATTAAAATTTGAAGGCACCAGTTTTTGCCAATTTTTTCTATTAATTATAAAACAACGAAACAAATCCCTGAATAACGCTAATCTCCTTATTGTAGAGGGGATGTATTTATAGGCGAAAAATACAAATTAAACATGGTGAGAATTCTTAAAAAAACTTATTTTTTTAATTCAAACTGTGCAACAAAACAATTTATTTACAAAATTTTTAATTCCTAAGGCCAAAACATTTTTTTTTCTGTAAACGAAACAGTCTTTGCTGATTAAACTTCTGGATTAACTAGAAATTAATTATTGTGGGAAGATTCTCTACTTTTTCAACGAAGAAAAGTAAAAAAAAAGAAAGAAAGTTTCAGCATTGATTTATTTTTGTTTAAGATTAAAAGAAAAATACGCGCCCCCCAATTGCAGTTTAAAATTTCATTCCTGTTTTCTTTTTTTTTTCTTTAATTATAAGCCCAGAGGCTTTTCAACGCTTTGTTAGGTGATATTAAATTTCTTCGCGTTAAGCAATTTTTTGCCCTTAAGTAATTAGACTTCTGGAAAAGAAAAGAAAATACTTTAGAAAACGGGGAAAAAAAAGCTCCCGAAATAGTTTTAATGAGATTTTCAATCATTATTGAATAAATGGGCGAAGAAAGGGAAAAATCTGATGGTTATTTCTTGATTCAGATGAAAAGAATTATGTTTCATTCATTCCCTCCCCCCCTAACAAAAGACACTCTTTTAATCGACGTGACACGAACTGCCAATTTTTATTTACAGGACAGAGTTTGGGGGAAGGGGGGTATGAATAAATTATTAGAATTAATTTTTGAAATAAAATGTTAGTTCTAAGTAATTTAGCAATTACGTTCTTCTAAAAAAATTTGTTTGAGGTAAAAATAAACGCAGCTCTACGGCTGAAAATAAAAACTTGAATAATTAACCTTTAGCGGTTATATTAAGTTTATATTTAGTAAGTAAACTGAATCAAATTAATTTTTGTGGGGGCTATCATAATATTTAGTTTAATAATGAAAAAATATTTTTTTTGAGAAGAAAATACCATGTTAGCATAATTTGCGAAACATTAGAGTTTAATAATAATAATAGCTGAAAATATGAATTTCAATTAAAAATATGTAGCTCAGAAGAAACTAATCTCATAAATGTGATAGATAAAATATGTTTTTTAAAGCTTAAATAATTAAAATGTAACTTTTATTTTATTTAATTCCAATAATTATATAAAAAAGGGATAAATTTTAATTTTTATCATTTTCTATATATTGCCCCGATATTTTTATAACGTATTTCTTTTCAAATTGGTAATGGAAAAGAATCGACTATAAGCGATTTATATGCCATCAAACTATCCAAAACGTTTATTGAATCAAAATGTTTACCTTCCTTATAATTTTTCACTGTAATTAAAAGAGAATAAAACGATGTATATTTGTAAGTAGACTATCACGTTGAAAAGACATACACACAGAATTGTAAATTACTATAAGTGATAAAATTAATATATGATATATATTTCTAAAAACTATTGATTTAAGTGAAACGTTTTGTTCATAATAATAAGAGTAGTATTTGCTTTTGCTATAATGGTTGAAAGCAGACAGACATGTGGCAAGGTTAAAAAGCTTTGGTAGTTGAGAGCAGACATACGTGTAGAACTGTTAAAAAGTTTGCTGGTAGAGAGCAGACTTAACGACTGAACTGTTAATAAGCTATGGTGGTTGAGAAGAGACATACGCCTGAAACTGCTATAAGTCTTTGGTGGTTGAGAAGTGACATACGTCTGGAACTGTTATAAAGCTTTGGTGGATGAGAAGTGACATACATCTGGAACTGTTATAAAGCTTTGGTGGTTGAGAAGTGACATACGTCTGGAACTGTTATAAGACTGGTAGTTGTAAAGAGACATACGTCTGGAACTGTTAAAAAGCTTTGGTGGATGAGAGTAGAATCATAGCGTAAAGGAGTTAATTACTCTTAGGAGAGAATTTCTCTGGAACAAAATTTCAGGGGGAAAAATATCACGTGAGCGCTATGTTTACGAGTGCAAAATGTTAAGACTGATATTAATTCTTGTTCTTACTGTATTTCGTCCTAGCTATATTTTATCCGTTTGTTACTCTTTTTTCAATCAATCAAGTTTTTTTTTGTTAACGAGATCTTGGCCAAATACTCAAGGGGTCTTATGACTCTTAAAGTAACAGAAATGCGCATAATTTGCACTTTAGACCATTTTCCTTAAAGTAAAATAAAGAAGAATTCTGAGTTTTTAGATAGAAAATATCACACACACTAAATTAGGAGATCAACCAGGCCTTGCAGATAATTGTCACATCTAAATACTCCACACCACCGAATATCGCATGATTACTATAATAGAGAATAACGCGTTCTAACAATTGCAAATCGGTTCCAAAAAATTGTAAGCACTAAACAGTGTTATCAATTTTAAAATTCAAAATTTCCTATTTATCATTGCACCTTGTATAAGCTCCTATTGTGTACCACGCTGTATACAATATGAACTTATTTTCACGAAATAAATGATCGTCACGTTCTTATGCTTCTTAAAAGATTTAACATATTCATCTAAGAAACACGTTTTTCTCTCCAATATATGTAATTTTTTAAAATTAACTTTGGCTTCAGCACCTTCCCTTGTATAAATAGTAAAGATAAGAAATTATGTTTTGTGCATATAACGATTATGGGGCATAAAAGTGTCGAAATTTGGAAAGGAATTGAAAGAGTAATATTTTGCTGCAAACTTTTCAAACATTCAAATAAAAAAGGCATATAAAATAAATATTTTAAACTAGTAAGTTTTAGCTTTTAAATTCGTTTTAGACTATATCGAAGTTTTCAAACATAATCTTTTGATACATTAAATGGCAACCAAAGTTAGATACTGATACAATTCTTAACAAGGCAAAGGAATAATAGAAAAATATTTAATAATAAAATAATAATAAATTATTGTAAGAATAAATAGTTATATTTCTTAATTGGTGCAACATAAAATAAGAAATTTAAATTCGAACGAACTTGTATAAAAATAGGTTTGCCATAAAAAATTACTTGTAAATTATTACTAAATGTTTTATTGCTGAAAAAATTGCAAATGCGCAATTTAAAGGCGTAAGTAATACAAGAAATTTCATATAAATAGCTGTTTTTTAATAAGTTACAAATAAATTTCAGATAAATTTAGAAGAATTCTTTAAAGTTTCTTACAAAATTAAAAAAACAAACAAACTTTTTTCTAAAAACAAATAAAAATTCTTACCTCTTTTCTTGATTCGTAATCAAGGGGTCCAGCCACGTAAATAGCCCCTGTCTCATTCTTAACCGCAAACGCCCCTCCTATATTTCCCTGCGTTATCTCATAACGTATCCTGGACGCTGCAAATAAATCAAACAATTAATAAACACCAGTAACTGCAGGTAAAAGTAAGTTGGAACCTCAGAGATAAATATGTGTAATATACGTTTACATAACATATATGAAGGGTGTTTCGTAAAGACTACCCTTAATGTGTATTTATAGAATCCTAATCAAAATGGAAAACGAAAAAAATATTCAAGCTGCTGGTGGCAAATTAATATTTTAGCAAAAACGTCGCCAAATTACAGTAAAGGAAGGCGAGTGCAATATACACCAAAGCAGGATTAACTGGAGGTTAAACCCTGAAGGTGTTTATACAAATCATCTTTCAATTCCTCCCGTGATAGGTCACAGATTTCGATATCACTTAAATATTAATTTACGACCTACAATGGATATACTTTTTGTGTTTTCCTTTTTTGATTAGGATTATGAAAGTGTGTAGTAAGGGTGGCATTTACGGAACACCCTGTGTATTCTAAGAATCTTTGTCTACAGCAAAATACGATGGCATTTCCGGCAATGGTTTGTACTGCAACCTCTTTCCTCCAAGTTTGAAATCGCTTTATTGAATCATATCCCTCTTAACACTAGAAAGACTGAAACTTAGTATATACCTATATTGCTCAAAAGCAGTCAAAATGACTGCATTGTGAAAAAATAACTAATGTGTAAAGAAATTTGTTTAATTAATTTTGAATATTTTTTTAAAATATTATTTGCAGTTATATAACAAGTTATTAGTAAATATCAACAATAAAAAAATTAACTTCACTTGGAAAGAAGATATTAATTTATGCATTATTATTTGTACATTTTTTGCAAATGAAAAATCAGTTAAGAGACAGTCAAAATGACTTCCTTTAGGCAACCTAGTGTTAAACATATAAAAAAAATTTTTTAAACTCCTGATCTTTTTTTCAGTCTTATCATTTGTTTTTAGCTAGTTTCAGATGGTCCGTTAAAAATCCCGATTTGTGTACTTTTCCTTAAAAGAAAAAACACTGATCTATCACGTGATAGATTGCAGTGCACTTTTAATAAAATATTTCTGTGGCATGGGTGACCAAACAATAAGAGTCGAAAAAAAGGAAATTGTATATTTATTTTAAGATTTCAACGACAGGATTGAAAAAACACAAAAGTTTTCATCATAAATCCGAGGATATTTTAGTGAGTAGCGAAAACATAAATCGCATTCCCGTTTTTTTCTCCTAAAATGTCAATTCAAGTGCAAACTTTGGCGTCGTGCCCGGAATTCGGATCGTTTGCAGCATGAAGAAACAGATACAGATGTCGTCCCTAGAATGTAGTACATTGATTTAGTCTGCTTTCTTTTAAAAAAAGTAAAAAACTCTGATAATAAATTTTGATGTCCATATATATCAAAGGCTGAGAACTCTGTGAGAATTTAAATTATTTTTTTCTGAGATGTTATACGCACCTGTATATTTTATAAACAATTTTCTTACATTCGTTCTTAAAGAATAGTATTTTAAAAGAGTTATTCTAAAAAAAATATCAATTTAATGCCTTTTACGTAAAAAATATGCAAAAAATGTAACTGATTATAAATCTTTTAAAGGGCATTTTTTTTAAGTAATATTGTTTAAAATATCTTTTGGGATTGAGAGATAGATTTGTAAAAACAAATTAATTCAGTTAATTACTTAAAATAAATTTGGTTAAGATCATTTTTTGTGGTAAGGTGGGTGGGATTATTAAAATTTTAAATAGTGTAAAGAATGGGCAAAAAACTTGAGCTTCTGTAAAACCAAATTTGTAAATTATTATAATTCATAAATAACAGAATTATAAATTTAATAATATTTTATATTTATAAATATAAAATATTATATGAATATAATATCATCATCATAATCATCAATGGCACGACATCCCAGGGTGGGCCTTGGTTTCCAAACTAACCTTTTCCCTGATAGCGTTTTCCAGTTTTTAGTCTTTTTCTAGTCCATCTATCCCTCTCAAATTCAGCCTGCCTCTTTTTCGCGTGCCAACTAAAAATATTATATATTTATAAATTTTAATAAATTATCCGAATAATTAAATATCCGAATTAATTATTAACCGAATTATTAATATCCGAATTTATAAATATATAAATAACCGAATAATTTTAATTTATGAATAACCGAATTTATAAGCTGAGTACATAACTACAGATGAATGAATGAGAAATGTTCAAACAAAGTGTTGACTTCTCTTCTTGACCCCAAGTTAACCTTTACTATAAATCACATTTATATGAACAAAGCCCTTCATTGGTATTTTGTATTTTTCTTTTTTAAATTATCAGAAGATGGCGGTACAAATCATGGGTGGATAAATATCTTTAAATCGACATTAAAAAATGAATTAAGTTGATCGGAAGTATAGTTTTCACGGCATTACAAAGGTGCAAAGAAACGGTTTAAGAAACTAAAAGTTTAAGACCCTTATCTTATAAAACGTTCTCCGGAAATTTCAATTCAGCGCATTTTATGTAAAAATAATGTGAAAAATAAAAATTGATTAATAAACAAAACAAAGCGAAATCGAGAGAATAATAATTTAAGTGGTAATAAAGGGGAAGGTGAGAAAAGTCGGTTATTTGAACTATTAGAGTGATTTTTCTAACATTAACTTTAACGTTTGTGTTATTTGAGCTTCACAGCGCATGCGCGAAAATTTCCTAACAAATCGCAGTCCCGATAAGGGGTAGAATATTCGGTGAGAGTTACAGTTACGAGGGAAAATCTATATTAGATTCCGAAATCAAACTATGTTTAGAAAAAGTTTTATAAAGTACTATCATGGATAAAAAATTACTATCATGGATACTATCATGGATTTTTTTTCCTCTTCTAAAGTCATTCAAAATTGTTCTTCAATATTTGATTTAGATTTTTACGAGTCATATCATATTTTCAAAAATTCCAAACTGTTGGTCAATGACCTATCAAGTGTTCCTTATATTTCTCCTGTTTGGAAATCTATGATTAAACCTAACTAACCCCCCCTTTTTGTTCCTTGCTTCCTATTCGTCGTCATCCATTCACCCTTCCCTCCTATTAGTCGTTGCTCTAAACCCTCTTGTGACGTCATCTTTCTATATATATTTACTCTGTTCTCTCATTGTTTTCTATTGCACTGATGAAGGTTGCCCTTTGAGCATCCGAAACAGCTGCCTGCATTTCATATATTTTTTGTGCTCTTAAACGTTGTTTTTATCTTACTTTGTACTGTCATGGATAATTAAAGCATTTTACTTCATTCCAATCTTATTTTATTTATTCCATTCAAATAATAAAACCAAACAAACATTAGTTAAGTAGACCTTTAAAAGAAATCCACTACTCTCCTTTCAAGTTAAATAATTTTACATTTCCCGTTACCGATCGAAGATATTTCGTCTTTTTTTAAAAAAAATTCTTTTTCGCCATTTTCTTAACACAGCTATTTTGATTGTTTCAAAACCATTCGAACAAACCCCCTCCCCACACTTCATGACAACTGTCGCATATATCGTTCTACTCTTTGATCTTTATTCGTCACTCTTCTTTGTTCGTGCAAATATTTTCTTATTTTTTTCACGTCTGCTTGAGACAAAAATTATAGTTATCAACAGAATGCATTTCGATGTTTGAAAAGTAAATTGCTTTTCAGCCGACAAATATTGCGTTATGGGGTTAAAATTAATCTAATGGCTTCGATGGTTTCCTTTCTTTTTATGGTAGATAATCCACTCTCGCGAAAATAAAAAAATACAAATTCAGTTTTCCTCTTTGAAAAAGAGATGACAGTTATTTACTTCTTTATCATTATTCTTATCAAAAATGGAAAATTTTTCTTCGTGTTAAGGCATAATATTTATTGCATGACAGCTATGAAATAAAATCGATCGTCATAATTTTGTTTCGATACTTAAGCACTTCATTTTCTTTTTTCAATTCCTACTATTAGTTCGCACTCTACCTATATCTTGTTCACATTTTCAATTGTTCATAAAATAATGTTTATTCATACATAAATTTTTTTCAAAACTTGTTGTGAATGACACTTGATGTTAATACAGTTTTTTTAAATATTAATTCATTCATCAAATAGGGATGAGTGAAGAACGAAATGGAATTTTCTGATGGGTTAAGCGTTAGTCATTGTTTTAAATTTTACTAGAAGCGATTCAGTTTTTCACATACATATCTTATAAATACAGTACAGAACCCTTTATCCGGAAATCAGAAAACCAAAAAACCGGAACGAAATTCGATAAATTTTCCCGCAATTTTTAAAAAAAACTTTTTTTTTCCTCATAGGATTTTAGGATTTTTCTTTCTTTCTTGAAAGATGTTTACCTTACCATCATTTCAGAAATAATCATTAGTGTATTACCTCATCGTTTTTTCTTATTTTTAAGATTATTTCCAAATATTTTTCTTTTTTTTTCAGTTTGGTTTAACACTAAAAAAACGGCTTTTTGTAGCGATTCAGAAAACCGGAAAAATCAGTTATCCGGAATAGCGATAGTCCCGATCGTTCCGGATAATCGGTTCTCTACTGTAATATCAATGATAATTTCTAACTTATAGCTCTATTTGAACAAAAAAATAGTTTATTGCGCACACTTAAATGCTTAATTATTTTATATTCGCTGTGTCAGATAAATTCAATAAAGAACATTACGCAGTAGCACGTGTGGTTCACGTCACCAAATGTATACTTTTACAGTTGTCTGATCCACGTACATTTTTTTTTCAATTTCTTCTATTAGTTCACACTCTTCCTATATCTTGTTGAAATTTTCAATCTGTTAATAAAATACTTTTTATTCTTCCATTCAACTTCAAATACATTTCTTTTTAAACTTGCAGTGAATGACATTTGATGTTAATACAGATTTCTCAAATATTAAATCATTAATTAAATTTAATTAATAAATTTTAGTTTTATACAAGGAGACTTCGCCCCCTGCTCGCTGGCGCTCGCCAACACCCGGAACTGCTTTCGCAGTTCATTT